AAAAAAAAGAATGAAAATGAACTGTTTAAAAAATCTCAATGCCACCACTCTCATTTTTTACTCTAGTTTTTTTTTTTCAATTTAACTTTATTAAAAAAAGAATGCATTTGGATTCAAATTTATATAGCCTAATCGAGTTAAATTTTTTACTCTATTTTTAACTGATTGATTAGAGTAAAAAATGTTAAAGAATTTTACCCATAAACTTTAGTTTTTGTTAATAATTAATAATTGGCAAGAGGACGTGGAAATCTTGGCGTGGGCTTGTTACATATATTAGGTTGGTCCTAGTTTGATATATTCAATACCCTGAATCTTTAATCTATTAGCTGGGCTACTTGCCCTAGTTCTTAATCCACAGGGTCAGGCCCTTTACAATTGAAAAGGGACCTAAAAAACTAGAATTTAAACTTTTTGGAGCATAAAAATAATCTCTCTTTCTCTCTATCACACACATATAATTTTAATCTTTTAAGATTCTCAACTTCAATAGAAAAATTATTGAATTTAAAATAAAATTTTATTATATAAGTTAATCATAGAAGTACTACAAGTTATTAACATTATTAATTAACAAGAATAAATAAATGAAAATGGAGTTAGGAAATTAAATGTGTGATAAATAGATAGTGAATAGTATAGAAAATTGAGAAACAATTATTTTTGTTCCTGATAGTATACAAGCTAGGTTCAATTTCATGGTTCATTTTCATATATATATATATATATATATATATATATATATATATAAATTTTTTGTTTATCATATCAATCAATGTAGAGCTTTAAAATAATCAAATACAATATTTCAAAACCCTAACCATTCTCGTATAATCAGTTCCAAGCTTAATAAACAAAGGAAAACTTGTTTGAAGATTGACTAGTTCAATACCATCACTATGTGGATGGAATAAAACCCTTTTTTTCTTTTTTTTCTTTATTTTACAAGAATTTGTTCACAATAATCATTGTTCAAAATTTTTTTATTAAGTATTAAAAAACTCTATTTAATTAATATCCATATTGAACTCTATTTAACTAATATCCAACATTAAATAATTCTTTATTCATCTAAGTATAGGCATTATTTTCATTTACAAAAAAACTTATCAAGTAACAATCTTACATCTGGAAATCCAATTTTCATTTCTTCATATCAAATATTAATCCCAATATCAGGAAAGATTAATTCCTTATGTCAATTACCAGACTTTATTCCCATAATCGGGAACTAGTGTTTTCTATCTCTTACCAGACATTAATTCCTTTATTGAGATGAATTTCATTGTCCCTTATTGGATATTAATCCTATATCACTAGAACTAAATTCATTACTCCTTGCCAGGATGAATTTTATGGTCCCTTACCGAGCATTAATTTCATCACCAGGACTAAATTCATTACCTTTTACCAAACATTAATTTTATCATCAGGATTAATTCCACCGTATATTTAATAAGTTAAATACAATATAACATAACATATTCAAAATATTATAACAACAATCTTACAAAAACAAGAAGTTAAGTTATTGAATATCTACCTACTACTAAAGATTTTGAAGTGTTTTTTTACTGTTGTATAGTTCTCGAATTCTCTCTTGTATCAACAAGCATATTAAATTTTCTTGTTATATTCATTACCAAATAAATTCTCATTTCCAAATATTTATTTAACAATTTAAATTAGTCAATTTCAATCAGCTTCACATAATCTACCGAAATTATCATCTTTTATTTAATGTATTTCAAATTAAATTGTTCATCTAATTCCACATTTTTTTCAATTCTATTAACAAAGAAAATCTCACATATTCTTGCACATGTAACCATTTCTTACACTCTTTTTCATTCTCGATACTTCAATAAAAAATTAGAATTTTAAATTAAGAGTGATTCCAAATATGAGTTGAAAATTAACTAATTTCAAGTGGTTCATTATAATCAACTTTAAAGATTGTTAATGTTTTAATCGAAATCATAGTTATAGAACTCAGTTTGATGCATGTTTAATTTTAAAAAAATTAAAATATTTTTTTACAACATTGATAAAGAATACTAAACCCAGTTCTTCAATCTGGACACAAAAATCATCAATTACAATAACACGTGGAATATGTCCTGCTACTCTAGATTTAGACCTTTATTTGATTTTTATTTCAAATATGGAGTTTTATAACTGTAATTTATATAAAATTAGTTTAGTTGAAAATTTAATATCCTTATCTATAATTGCTATGAGAGATGAATTTTAAATTTTATCATTTTCATGCCTAAAATCTCCCTGGTAATCAAGGGATGAAACTGTCACGTGTTTTGTCTATGAATTTTATAATCAACAAAACATTTTATACCTTTTTATTTTTTACGATAAATATTTTTTTAATATATATAATTCTAATTCTCTAAAACACTTCATATTCATTTACATTTTTATTCAAGCATATAAAATCAATCTATGCAATATTCATTTTAACAAAATTTCTTATTATACAACAAAATTTCCATAAAAATTCAAATTATAATTCAATTCTTTCAAAAATCATTTTCCACATAAAATATATTAATTCACAATAATTTTATTTAATTACATGCAATTATACTTCATGAACCTATATTTCCTCTTCGGTCAGCCATATGGGTTCTTAAAGATCCTAAGTTTTCTTCATCAATTTTACTAAACTTAACATCCAACATAATCTAATCTAACTCAATTTGATTAATTCATGGTTAATTTTTATTTTTTCAAATTTTTTTTTGTAAATTCTAATCTAAAATTCATGATTTCTACTTTAAATATTATTGGAATTGCATAAAATTGCTAAAATAGATATAGAATCCCTTACCAGATGTTATTTAAGTCTTTTAGTCTCAACAAAATAAGAATTTTTTTAATCTTTTTTTTTCTTTGTTGTTGTGAATGTGCAGCCCCTCTCTTTTGATCAGTTTGCTTCTTCTTTTTTTTCTTTTTAATTCAATGTTTAGAGGTGTGTTTATATATTTCTCTCAATTCCTCCCTAAATCCCTTGATTTTCTCTTGGTTTTTTTAAAAATTTTGTTGAAAAATTAATTTTTTTTTGTTTCTCTTTTATTTACCGCTACCGATTAAAAAGATGAAAATATTCCCTTTTATACTTTTTTTCTAGGGTAATTCACCATTTTACCCCTCTTTAAGCATAATATGAATTATCCCCTCTTTTTATGTCACATTGTTTTTATATCTTTTTCAATTTCACTTTTGACATAATAATTTTTTTTCTAAATTTTAATTTAACTCAATTTTATTTTTGAATTAAATTTTTTTATTGTTTTATTTTTAGCTGGGAGTTTATATTTAGTTTCTTAGAAAAGTAAAAGAGATTTGTTGTAACTTGATTTAGTGTTGAAACAGAATATTATACTATAGTATTTGCAGCATGTGAAATAATTTGATTTAAGATTTTTTTTATGGATTTGGATTTTACAAGTATTATTTCAATAATAATTTTTTTTGTAATAATCAAACAGCTATATATATTGTGTTTAAACCGGTGTTTCATAAACAAAATAAATATATTAAAGTAAATTATCATTATAATCATTAATAGGTTCAATCTAAACTTATTCAAACAAATTATGTATATATTTATGATCAACTAGTTGATATTGTACTATGATATTTGTAACATGTGAAATAATTTGGCTTAAGATTTTTTTTATAGATTTGAATTTTACAAGTATTATTTTAATAATAATGTTTTTTTGGTAATCAAACAACTATATATATTATTTTTGAACATTTGTTTTATAAACAAACTAAATATATTGAAATAGATTATTATTAATATAATCATTAATATTAATAGGTTCAATCTAAATTTATTCAAACAAAATATGTATATATTTATAATCAACCAAGCATGGAGCAAGAAAAAAAAAATTAAAGGGTCAAATTAAATAATGGTACAAAAATTTCCTCTAAGACTTTTTTTTTAAGAAAAGTACTAGAAATTTTTTTTTCTTGTTGAGGTCGACATTCCTGCCAGCCCCTTTATCTCTGCCATTGTGATCAACTAATTGATATGTTCATTGAAGCTCTATTATTTTCTTATTTTTATTGGTTATCAATACTTTTGATTTGATCTAATTTGAGAGGGAGTGTCGCAGAAGATACAAAATATTTATGTAATTACATCATTGCCTAAAATAGCTTATTTGTATGATGATGTCTTTTTATTATTAGCATGTATTTTTGGCAAAGATCATGTACAAAGCTATGATTTCACTGCCTTCTCTGGTTTTTATATATATACGCCCAATTCACAAGCTCAATTCATTAAGTTTCTTCCCATCATTTCTGGAACTCACTCTCTTTTTCACTAGTCCCCCAAAAAAATATGCACATTACCCAATGAAATGGACTTTACGAACGTCTATGTACTGTGATTATCTGTAGGAAGATATGAGAAGCTGTGTGCTCCTGTTGATGAAGCTATAGGACCGTAAATAATTCTCTTGAGAAATCGTTGACCTTTCTGTTCTTACAGTCATTTGCAGTGTCCCAGAACTTCAAACTGATGAACTCAAAAAAAAATCTGCAACAATGATGCTGCTAATTGTAATTTTCTTTAAACATCTGTTGTGCCTGACTCTTCAAACCTCGACGCCTGCATTCCATGGCCTCAACAAGTTGCAAGGTCCATAAATATGCTACTCCTGTGAATGCCATCATGTCAGTGAAGCACTTGTCTGGTCTCACATAGGTTAAGAATTGTTTATTTCTGTTTTTCGGTAATATTTTTAAAAAAATTAAATGTTTTTACTTTTAAAATTAATATTATTTGGTGTTTTTAGATCATCCACTATAATAATATTAAAAATAATTTTTAAAAAATAAAAAAATATTATTTTAATATATTTTTAAATAAAAAAATTATTAGAACCATAAAAAATTTATAAAAAAACACAATAAAAATAAAGCCATAACAAAAAAAGTACGGCTAAGCTAAGCAAGGCCAGGACCTGGAGTCACCAACACAGTACTACTCGGCGGATTATTAGGAGGTGGCGCCCCAGTTATAGCAGGCACAGCAGGAGGAGGCAGGGAAAGCGTCGGGGGTGACAGCAGAAGAGGAGGAGGTGATGGAGGAAGGTTAGTGCCAATGTCCGGTGGGGTAGATGGTGGGGGGCTGGACTGGGAGATGCCCGCTGCGCTCGTTGGGGTCAGCCCATAAGGTCCTCTTGTGGTAGGATCAGGGAAGGTTAATTGTGGATGGTGACAATCATAGCCGTCATCGGAGCATTTGTGTGATTTTTTTACAACGGTGGTGAGAATTGCAAGTACAGTTGTGAAGATCTTTTGTCGCTTTCCCTCCGTAGCACATAGTTGTTGTAATTAAGACACCAGATTGAATTTTTAAAATAATAAAAAAAAGGATTAGTTTTGACTCTCCTTCAAATTTGATAAATGTTAATTAATTGTATATTTCATTATAGTTTTGTGACTTATAATATCATTTTTTTACTTGATCATCTTAAACTCCATATTTAAAGTTGTGATTGAATTTATTTATTAAAATAAATTGAGTCAATACCTCCTTAATATATGCTATATTAGATTATTAGATTCTATTGATACATAGCTAATTCTAATATATATATTGGATGGTTATATTCACATGTATTTGAATGAAATTGTAAATTATGAGTTAAGCGGTATAATTATTTACTTATAAATGCTTAACCAGATCTAAATAACTAGATTTTAATTGAAATAAAATATTTAAGATAAATCAATGAAATTTAAATTTAATAAAAATAAATAAAAAAATTAAATTAAATCCAATATTTTCAAATTTTAAAGCTATACCTTCATTTTATGACATAAATAAAGATGGAGACAGAGAATACATCTTATATTAATTATAATCTCTAATTAACAAAAACATCTAAATAATGTGGCAAAAGTACTGCAATATTGGAAATAAAAAAAAAAGGTATAATTGGCCTTGGTGTAAAATTGTATTTTTATGGGGTTTATTTTGTCATTTTAGAATTTTTAAGGGTACCTTGATCTTTTTCATAATTCTTTTGCATGATAAAACTATTTGAAAACCATTAAACATAAAAAGCACTTAACTATGTTTTAGATCATTTTTCATTTTTCATTTTTTAGAAAATAAAATAATAACTCAATTGCCCTTGAAAATAAAATTATCAAAGCATGATTTTAGGGGTTTTTTTTTATAATTTCATAAAGGCCTTTTTTATAGTATTGGGCAATCTAATAATATGATGAACACAGTAAAAAAAGTTGTTGATATATGCATTATATATATATTATTATATATATCAGTCACTCTACTATTTTTAGGCGGCACATCCGATTGACTTTACTAGTCAAAGTTATTGTTTTGTTATGTCATTTATTTCATCTCGGCATCTTCTTCCTTTCTAAATGGAATTTGCATGGTGTTTTTGTCCAATGTTATACTAATTTTATTTTTTTCTTTTTCCTCCTTCATTTTTATTTATCTTGATTTGTGCATTCTCTCTAAAAAAAAATCAACAGGTGCCATTTTTTTCAGATTTAGTTCATAATTTTTTAATTGTAATTATTTTATTTTAGGTGATTTATAAAATTATTTTTTGCATTTTGATCCACCTTCATTTTTTTTTCTTGAACTTAATTTTTATTTTTTTATTGTTATTTTTTATTTATTTGGAAAAGTTTTTTTATTGATTTTTTTAATTTTTTCTTCAACATAAAATTAGTTAGGCATTAAGCTTTTGAGCTAAAGTCTAAGATTTCACCGTTTATGATTTTGGAACTAGGTTTAGAATATTCATAAAGGTTTGTTTGGTATTTAATATTATTAAATTGACTGAATTTATTAAATTGAATCATCGCCCTAACTTTGTTCTTCCTACATATAGAAAAATTTAGTTTTATTTGTAGCATTGCTCCAACCATTTATATAAGTTTATTCAGGTTATTTTTTTATTTATTATTTAATTTGAGTTTTTTCACTTTTGATTTTTAATATTTAATTTATTATAATTGGATTTTTTAATTTGTTTGGATGCGGGTTCTATATTTTGAACACAATCTTATATTCTACACTACAAGTTTTATAGGTTAATTATTATTGAGTCGAGTTTGTATTATTATTTTAATATTTTATTAAAAATTATTTCATCTAATATATTATTAATTAAATATTTTGAAAGTGATTCAATTATTATAAACCAAATCTTTGACTTTCTAATTGCTTAACATTTTTT